CATGTGTGTTAAATACGATTTTCCGATATATAAATATTACAATCTTTTTTTTGCGTTACTAGTAAGTTATAGAATAAATGCCAGACGTAAAGTCAACATTACGAATCTCTGATCTATAAATAAGTTTCTTCAACTTGTTTAGAAAAATTGATTTTTCTCAAATCTGACTTTACGTCATTTGCATATTTTTTATCATATTTCACTTTACATTCGAAATTGTTTCTATATTTATGTCTCATTATTATGTCTTGATTTTTTATCGAAATATATAATTCATTGTTCATTTACAGTCAATCTGTCAGTTTGTTTATCAGTTTTAAAGACAATCATTTAAATTTTAAATGATTATATATTTTGGAGAAATTTATTTATATGAATTTATTAATATTATATGCAATAGAAAAAATAATAGTATGAAATTTTTGCGAAAAAGGTGTTGTTATCAAAGAAATATTTTATTTATACTAAAATTTATTAGCAATTAGTTAATTGCTACAGATAAACATTTTATGAAATAGAGAATTAGATATACATTTTATGTATGAAGAAAATATTATAGTCAGATCGATCACACACAAAAGAGATGGTGTAATTTTTTTATCAATGTATTTACTTAAAATTTTACTACAAATAATATGTACATACATACATAATGTAAAATTTACGCTCAATAAAGCTCAGATTATGGAATTCAATACTCGTTATTTCAAATATGCTTTACTTTATTAATAATATTACTTCACATATGCTTTACTTTATTTATTCTTTAATAAATACATAATATATAATATATAATAAGAGCTTAATAAATAATAATATTAATAGCCCAAATTTTTAAAAATTATATAGGGTCTTGGAAAAAACTTACAATATGTTTAAAATCAAGGTCATTGGAAGAATATAGTTTTTTCTAAAGATATTTCTCTCTTTTTCTTTTGCGACACAGATGACAAGCATTTGATGGGAATAGCGAAGCGAAATGTGTTGTCAGTAACAGAGCCGTTTATCAATTATGATACAAGTTTATTGAATCACTGCTTGCGCGAATTAACAATGACAATAGGTCTCCTTTTCTAACAGTTTCTATATACATATATATTTATGCACATATATATATGTATGTATGTATATATATGTACATACATTTATATATATCTGTGTGTGTATGTGTTATGTATATGATGCGCGCATGTTTGTGTGTCGCATGTTTTCCAAGGTACCAAAATTTCTTCCACATCATTCATTTTAAATATTCGCAAGTCTTCGATATAATGATGATACGGCGATAACAATAATGATAATAATAATAATAATTCAAGTAATTAATAATAATCGTAATAGTAGCAGTAGTACAATATAGTAATAGTAATAATAATAATAATAATAATAATAGTAATAATAATAATAATAATAATAATAATAATAATAATAATAATAATAATAATAATAATAATAATAATAATAATAGTAATAATAATATAATAACGGGGTGGAGGGAATATGCGCGCCAAAACTGCGATAATATATTAAGAGTTAACAAGAATAAAATATACATGCAATCTCTCATATATGTATACATACAATATGTATATACATATCATGATATGGCATTATAAATTGCTTTATTTATCAATCTTTTCATTTGATAAATAAAGCTATACAAATCAATTTTTCTTTACCTAATGATGTAATTTTGATGATAAAAACGACTTCCGCTTTTCTTTTTTTATTATTCTAATCTCTCTCTGTTCTTATTAATATTCTGCCAATAATATTACGAATAATTTTCTATAGCTTTTCTTTGGTATTAATTAATTAATCGTGTACATACATATATACGTATTTATATACGTGTATATATGTACACAATACATATGACCCCGTAATGGCGAATGTGCGTATACGATAATAACTATAATATCTATACGAATGCACCTCGTGATAAAAAATTCACGTTGGTCCTTCTCTTAAGCCGGAACATTCAACATATTTCTTCTTCCGGTTTCTTCTTCTATATGTGACCCTGCCTCTTTAAAGTTAGGATACTCACATGCGTTTCTAGTTAAGCTGGGTTTACATTTGACATTTTTGACACTCCTCTCTTATTTTAACACCCTTTTATTATATGATATCGGAGAGAAATTTTTCGATATATAAATATTACAATCTTTTTTGCGTTACTAGCAAGTTATAGAATAAATGCCAGACGTAAAGTCAACATTACGAATCTCTGGCCTATAAACAAGTCCCTTCAACTTGTTTAGAAAAATTGTACGCCTTGATGACAAAGAAGAATAATAACAATGGTTTTTACATTATTCACATTTTCTTAATGCAGATAGCGTCAAAAATATCGTCTTCTTTGATCGAATATTTCATGTTATCTATGAGTCATTTCGAATCACGTGCTCGCGCTCGAATCAGGATTTTCGGATTTAGAGTATAATTAAAAACGAATTTATTTCGACTATTTATGTCGCCATCATCATATATCATATTTATTTTCGCGGAAGTACTAGCTATATGTCATTGGCACTGTCAAAGCACAATATATATAGGAAGCTTAGTTTTGCCATGTAAAGAAGAATAAAAACCTTCAGAGCTGAAAGGTGATTTCGACTCTTGGTGCTTTATGCTTCTCGATTAAATTTGCATTGAGAGCGCGAGAACGGTATTGCAAAGATTAGACAAATTCTGCGCAATCGACGCTTTTACACGATTATTTACAAATTTATTTATATATAGAGATATGACACACTATGCCCTCGAGGCTAGGAAATTGCGATTGCTCGAGCGCAGAAAGGCCGATCAATTTCGTCGGAAAATCATGGAAGAGAAAATGTAGGATACGCGAGATAATTATCGCGTTTGCATATTTTCGTAAAGTATAATTTTTTTACTATATACAATATAATCACGAATTTAATTCCGAGACGTCTAAGGGATCTCGTTGAAAACGAAATTGTATTCGCGACCTTTTGATGTTTGAGAGATATTTCTATAAGTCATGTTTATATACATATTTACGCATTGTATGCCGAGATTGCGCGATTTTGCATCTCGATGAATGATGTTATCACGATATGTAACTCTGCGATTAATCGTGATATGAATCATGCGCGTTCCAACGATAATATATATTTTTCTTAGACGCACAAAATGTGAAGAAAAAATTAAACAAAAACAATGTCAACTTTTTGCGCGTCGATGATTCGGAACGTATATAATTTCTCATCCATCGAAAGCGAAAGCCATATATCTAGTGTGATTTTTTTCAACTGGCGTGTGTGCGTGACATGACACATTGGATTTACATATTATTTTACTAGCCGCTCGTCGGAGAAAGCGAAAAACGGTGATGAATTCAAATCTCAGCCGTCGCAATATTCAACAATAATTGTAATTGTAATTGTAATTCCGCAAAATTGACAAAGTACAAATTAAAAAAGTATATACTCTGTTTCTATTTCATAATTTTATAAATTTCTGCATAATTTATTGCAATACGTACTATATATTACGATGCGCGTGTTACAAAAGCGCAAATCTATATAATCAATTAGAATCCTAACCTTTATATGGCGGCATTATGGCTACAATTACGATCATTATTAAAATACAATTGCTATTAACTTTGTTATATATAAGTACAAGAATTTTAATAACTCTTTAATCTTAGAGCATATGGAGGGAAAATATACTAGCCTAAAAGTGTTCCCAACATCTGTGCGAGAAAGATAGAGATTATACCTATTCGTCTTTTAGGAATGCGTTTTTTCTAAGCGACTGCTATACAGCTGTTATTTTTTTCTATCATAGACTTCTATATATTATTAAACTGCTAACTTCTTAAATTTCTTTTGTATAAAGTGTCAATACATTTTATGTACTAACGTGGTCTTTTCTGCGCATAAAAGTATTATTCTGCGCATGAACCTATACAGGGTGGTCTTGAAATAGTTGGTCAAAATCAGGGATTGGATTGGGCTTGTCATAAGAATGAAAAAAGTTCCCATAAACGTTAATCCAAAAACGCATTTTGAAGTATTGCCTCCGTGCCCTAACAATAATAATAAATTTTAATTGTGACAATAGATCACTCGATTAACCTACTTATTGAACACATTAATTAAAAAAGCACAAATTATAATAGGTACGATCAAAACTTTAAAAGTATTTATTCTTCGAAATTGATAATTAAATGAGCTGTAACTCTTGAAAGATGCGTTTTTGGACTAACGTTTATGGAAACTTTTTTCATTCTTATGACGAGCCCAATCCAATTCCTGATTTTGACCAACTATTTCAGGACCACCCTGTATAGTATATATACGTAACGTGTACTGTAGATACATGCACACACGCAAGCATATGAAATTCAGTCTGCATGTGTTAATACATATATATTCACTTACAATATAAAATCGTAGACACCTTAGAGCCAATTTTACCAACCTCGGTTGACTCTATAATTTTAAATCAACCTTTGTCTCTTTTTAAACTATATCTTTGTCTCTTTAAGTCTTTTTAAAGAACGTATCTGAAAAGAGACAAAGATATAATTAAACCGGAAGTTAAAGTTAACCGAGGTTGGTAAAATTGGCTCTTATACATAAGAAGTTAGTAGTCTAGTAATATATAGAAGTCTGTGGTCTCGATACATTTCTATTTTATTTTGCCTATACGTCTGTCAGTTTAGAGGACGAATAGGAATTTACTATATCTTTTTCTTTCGTACAGAATTTTTAGGGATACTCATAGAATTTATGTATATGGGAAAGGTATAATATATATATGTTCCATAAGCCGAAACTGTGTCCAACATAACTTTGGTTCGCTATGCGTATTCACTAATATAAATTATTAATGCATGTTCATAACCTATATGTCGTGTAGCACTTTAACTGAAGCGGGGAGCACACACTCTTGCATAAGCGCATAAGCATAAGAAATTCAATTGTTTGAATTTCTTATGCATACGTTTATAGACCAATCAAGATTATTATGCTTACGCTTATGCGCCTATGCAAAAGTGTGTGCTCCCCGCTTTAACCTAACTCGACACACATCCATGCACGTGTATAGATGAAAATGCACACTACAATGCACGTATACAACCTATAACAAATACAATCTCGCTTCGGTTTATACGTATTTCGAGGAAGAACAATAAAATGAGACAGAACCATAGTTTGTTGTCTTATTTTGAAACTGCGGGTCCCTTTCCCCTTCCATTATATAAGGATACTTTTATTTTTCAGAAAGTATATCCTATTCTCTCTCCATGTCTATATGCTCTAAGTCTTTAATGCTGCTTTAAATTGAATAGTGCCAGTTGTATATTAATTAAAAATCGACTTAGAAAGAGAAGAAATAATCGGTGAATTCTCAGACAAGTGGCTAACTTGTTGAAAAATTCCCGAATAAATACAATTCAACATATATATATATATATATATATATATATATATATATATATATATATATATATATATCATCGCTATTACTGCGCTCGAGCCGATCGTCAAAAAAGAAAAGATTACGAAGAAGGATTTGTATTTGTGTACGCATATCGCGTGTATATCGGGCACAATATCGATCCATTCAAAGTAGGATTTGATCTACTCTTACAAGTAGTGTATTATACAATTATTAAAGTATTTGGTGTAAAAATATAGGATATATAATACACGGGCGTTGTGTGAGAGTACGTGGGATTTGTGCACTCTTCGTCAGTTTCCAAAAGATGATTTTTGTGTTTTCGATGTCTCCTTCTCGCGTTAATAACAAATTCGGAGTTTCATCGTTTTTTTTTTCTCAAAAATGTTTCTTCTCTCGAGTAACAACGTGCCAATTAAAAAGGATTTATGCGCCAAATTTTCAAACCGGAAATGCAAGACTATCGTAGGCAGAATATGAAATTCTATTTCCAGTGTATGTTATGTAAGTTTCTTGCAAGTGCATTGTCATTTAAACTCTCCTTAAACTATACATTGCTCTTTGCTTATTTATTTTTCTTTTCGACGCGCTTAAACCCTGTTTACTTTACAACATTTTGAAAGTAAATCCGTAGGTCCCCGCGATATCTCAAAAGGATGTTCGCTCTCGTTGCTCTCTTTATTTATTTATTTTTTCGTCTAATTAGCGATCGTTCGAAATTTGAATATGATCGCCTCAAAAATCCTCGCTGAAGTAATTCTTGAGTTTTCCGTTCGTATCGATCGATTCAAATATTCCTTTGTCGCAAATTGCTCGCGAAGCGCAAGCGACCGAGCAAGTTGCTCATGAAAGTCGTTTCCAGCGATTCTTAGTGCGATTGGCCATAACCCTCCGTGTCGCGTTCTTTGTCGAAATTTTGGCTCGATGGCGATCCAAGATGATCGCAATGTCGCCGGTTTCAGGTCACGTCCACCACGAATCCGTGAACCCGATCATCGGCTGGCTGCTACGTCAGCAGTTTGAAGAACATCAAGGCTAGGGATATGTTGATAAAGAGTACTAGCATCACGAGTTGTTGTCGAGAGAACCAGTCCTGGAAATATACGGAATTTGTTATATAAATTTTTCTTCGTCTCAATTATGCGTCGTTTAGTAGTTTTGTTGCTGGTAGTCATAATATTTTGTAATTTTAATTACAATATATACATACATATATACTATATATATATTCTCACCATCCTCTTATGCATTGAGATATGTGTATTAAAGTACCCCGCATTAATTTTATGTAAAATTTTGGTTAAATTAGCTGATTTTTCATATGTTATAGCTTTTGACCTGCTAAATAAAAAATATAAAAAGCAGATTTTATTAAGATTCATTTTTGTATAGAATTAGGATTTTATATAGGACAGCGGAATTTTTGAATTTATATGATCCTAGATAAAATTGAATCCTGATGAAATCAACTGGTTTTCTCATATATTGTAGTTTACGAGTTACTGAACAAAAATGTAATAAGCTCAAAGCTAAACAAGACAGTTACAATTAGTCAAACATGAAAAACACAGATTTTGCGAGTTGTTTGACTGGCTGTTCAATGAGGCTATTGCATCTTTTGTTCAGCAGCTCATAAGCTACAACATATGAAAAAACGAGCTGATTTAACCGAAATCCATTTCACATAAGATTAGTGCAAGGTACTTTTCATACTTATCTATCCTTTTTGGGTCTTTGTATGAAAAATGATTGTATAATCTTGTTGCGCAGTTTAGTGTGTTAGATTTTTAATCGAAATGCGCAGTCGTAGATCCGCAATAAACATATATTCTAGCAGAATATCATTTTGCTCTTTCGTTTTCCGCGCGATCGCTGCAAGGACGTCTTCATCAACGTAAACAATTTCGACAGCCATAGGGTAAGCTCGAAGGATACTCACTTTAACCTGAGGACTGACTAGATATAAAAGCGGATTGGCCCTGAGCCTCTCACTTTCGTCGATCTGTCTGCGAATCTCCTCTCTCCTCAGACTGCTCAAGATACTGACTTCTTCCCTCGACAATGGCGCTGTGGCTGTGAGCTGGATCGGTTGCGCCACGTCCGGCAGTGACTTTTTTCGTTGCAGGGGCATTGCCGTTGTCGGCATCGCCTGCACAAAGGAAATAAAAAAAAACAGAGAGAGAGAGAGAGAGAGAGAGAGAGAGAGAGAGAGAGAGAGAGAGAGAGAGAGAGAGAGAGAGAGAAAGGGAGAGGGGGAGAAAGAAAGAGATAGACTTTGAAACAACAAGAGAGAGCGATTATATACTTATCAACACTATATATATACATTAGTACAATATATGTATCGTAAGGGGATACGGAGGAAAGAGAAAATGGATGTATAATCAGGCAATAGAGATAATAATTATATAGAGTACATTACTATTTTGATAGGACGGAGGTATATAATGTCAAGTGAACTCGATCATCTTTGAGGAAGATTTAATTAATTTGATCAAACGTATATATTCAAGAGATTTTAACGCATTCAAGGTTCGGTTTCGTGAACATATATAAGATGCTTTGCAATTTGTTAATATTGTTGATTAAATTATATTAATGTAAGTTTTTAGAAAGGACAGATCAATTTTAAATAAAATTGTGTCCACAAATTGACTATAATTATCAACAAATATATATATGTATATATAATTTCTTTACTTTTCGAAGCTTTTTTATTGTATATCAGAGCTATCTCTCTATCTCTTTGTACATATTATTATCTTTATATACACACATACACGCAAACATCCGCACACTCATACACATTGTATATAATTAAGCAATTACAAGCGAATACTTTTTCTTTGCATTTTTGTTATTTTACTCGTGTTTAATATCAAAAATTTTGTTTTATATTGTTTTATAAAGTTATCAGTTTCATTTTCAATTACTATTCATCCAGACAGCAGAAGATTTCTATTTAATTCACATAAAATAATTAATTGTGCAATTACAATTTGTTTAATAGTTTTTGATATTATTCTATACCGGGTTCAAAATAAAGCGTTACGAATTTTTATTTCCAAAAATAGTTTTTAGAAAATGTTTGAAATAAAAAGTTGTATAGCTACAAGATATTTTACATTTTATGTCAAAAAATTGTTAATTTAAAATTTATAATTCAAAAAATACTTAAAAGAAAAAATATTTTATTATAGTGCTTTGAAAAGTTCTCAAGAAAAGTTACAAGAATATGCAATAGAAAATAGGAAATTTTATTTAAAAAATTGAAGGTGATCTTTATGTGACCTTTAAACTACTATTCAAGATCAAATCATTGTTACCATCCTACATATGTATCCCTTGAAGCCATACAACTTTTATTTGAAACATTTTTCTTGAGAAACAATATTTTTGGAGATAAAAATTTGTAACGCTTTATTTTGAACATATTAATCTGGATTAGTAGTCTGGCAAAATTTTTCATAAAACTGTTACAGGATAGTGTTAGTTAAAGAATTTTGTAGAAATGCTTGTCTTTTATTAATTCAATATTTCAATATTGAATGCAACGGCTGGCAAGGAGAAAAATACCAGACATGAACAAAAAAGAGAATCTATTCAAAAAGGGCTATTTCAAATTTAAGGGTCAAGGTTTTGAATTTCGAGTCTTGTGGTGAACCACGGAATTTAATTTCTGTCAAAGCGATTCATTGTATCAATTTTAGAAAAATGCTTTTTTTAACTTATTGTTAGTACATACTAGATAATTTGTATAAATCATTTTTCGAGACACAAAGAAACGAAAGAAGACATCTGTTACTATTTTTTTAAAAGCAACTAAATAACAAAAAAAAAATGATACTAATTCTTCTATGACTGAAAAAATATTATATATTGCCTTTATTTTAGAAGAAAAAGGCATATATTATTATTATTATTATTATTATTATTATTATTATCACGATCATTTAATGAATATTTTGCTTAAGTTTTCGCATTTTCACGAGACATTCAAAATATGTTGTGCAATGGATATTTGGCAAAGTTCGCCAAAGATTGCATAATTGTATAGATGTTTCATCTTTCGTGATACTATACACAAAGTAATATTTAAATTGTGGTATATTTATAAGCTATGTAAAAAGCTTCTTGTTTCGCGTCGAATAATTTAGCATATTCATGCATTTTTGTCTCTTTTAAATAAATGCGCAATCTTCTTGTTAAGGACAGAATTAAACGCATTTTTCACGCGCCATATTTATATAATGTATATATTTATATAATGTAACCTATTTATTAAACTTCTTGACTGATTATTGCGCATCTTATTTGTATAAACTTTGGTTCCACACTTTGTCGAGCATATACGTTATCGCTAATTATAAGCATGAGATCGATTTCACTATAGTAACGAACAAATAATATATGTCTTTCCTGTTCGTTATCTTTTGTTTTTTTCATTCTTTCGTTGTTTTTTTCAAACCTTTTCGCGTTATTTACGCAATTGTTATTGTTGTTGTTGTTGTTTTCGTACAGTGATACGTATTATATATTATATAGATTTGTTTGGCATACCTCTACGGGAGGTGCAACAATCCAGGACTCTGAGGCTCGTCTAGCCATCAGAGCAGGACTGCATAGCAGTGCCTCCTCCTCTTCGTCAGGTTCGACCATATCCTTCCAAAACATGTTTGTTCTATCACAATAATTACTAAGCAGATATATCTTCAAGTTGCTTTAAAATCTTTCAGGATTTTAATCACCTACGGAGATGAGAATTACTGTCGTTTCTCGAGTGCAAATTTTTCTTTTCTAACTTGTCATTTGTTGTTAGGTAATATATGTATATACGCACACATACACACACGTATGTATGCATGTATGTATATAACGTATGGTTGATAAATATCTCTATACAGTGTGTATGTAGATTCGATAAACATATTATTTTACATATGTAATAATATTAAACAAGCTTACACAGTTTGTGCCGTTGCATTACATCATTCGACATGCTGTTCAATGACAAAATTCAAATAATTTTCGCGACTGCATCTATTCTCACGCACTGTGATTACGTTTCACAATTAGTCATTAAATTATAACATGTTGTCACACTTTCATATGTTGACGTGAAATTAAGTGGATGTTTCTCAGTAATCGAGAATCATCGAATTCGCGTTACATCTGAATTTATCCCGGAAGCAATAATAATAGCCAGCCCTGGCTTTTACGTTTACACTTGTCTCAACCTAAAGTGCTCTGCGCTGATTGACTCATTCGTAGACAAAATTCTTTCTCTCTTTCTCTTTCGCATTTATCATTTTCGTGACCATCATCTGTTTTCCAACCAGATTTTCAATCAGAGAAGAGGCACTAGAAAGAGGCTGGGTTGAATTTTTCAGATCCGCAGCTTCCTAGTAAGAAAGCCAGGCCGTAGACTAAATGGCCCTGGCTAGCACGACCGAAATAGAGCGATGCCCCACTATTTTCAAAATAACTTTGCCGAGCGTCGCGACGCTCGCGGAGATCTGCGTCAGGACAAATTGCCAGAGACAATCTTTGCGGTTTCGTTTCATTTATGAGCTTGTAAATTTTTCCGAATTATTCGAGGCTATTTTGAGGACGAATTTTTTTTAAGTTTAAGACACAGCACCTAGTTCAGCACAAAATGTACTATAAAAAATTTTTGAATTATAAGAGATGCAATGTGTTAATTGTCCGACCGCGTGCGAAAATTGCAAACAACGTCTGACTCATCTGTTTAGTATGCGAATAAATCCGGCGAGAATTTCAAGATTTTCTTACGAGCCAAGAAGAGGGGATCCGTCTCACTTATTTGCAAATTCTTTGTCTATCATTTATCACGTTGTGTAACTTGCTCGTAGTGTTATGCAGTTTTGTCAGCCACATTAAAAAAGAATAGACTGATAAATGCAACGCATTTAATTAGCCTCGTTAATCGCTATTATTCTCTTATCATATTGATTGTTAATATAACAATATTCTTTTTTTATAATAATATTAATTATATTCACTTAAAAAAGTTCTTTATATTTGATAAAATACGATAAACAAATAATTAAAGAAAGTACTAATAAAATATTATACATACTAATAAAATATTTTTGTGGAATATATACATGTTTACGTAAAGGTCACAAGTGAGAGAAGCTTAATAAAATTTGATTAATGATAACGAGAAAAATAATAATAATAACCTGAAGCATTTCATTATTTTTAATCATAAATTGCAATTTTCAGTTTTATTTGATTTAACTTTTCTCGATATTAATTTATTACTAATACATTTTCCTGATCTTTATATTACCTATATCTCCCTATATTTCCATAAAACTGTCACTCGACTATTACAATTGCGCATTTAAACGCAATTGAAAGTAAATTTTATATGTACAAAACGCACATACTTTAACTATCATTAATTGGTTTTTAACATTTAATATTTGTGTATATCGTGATTTTTTCACATTTTTATATATAAACTTTATGCGGTAAATATGGCTGGAGAAAGCGTATAATTAATATTTTCTTATAAAGTCTTCTATAGGAACTCTTCTATAAAAAAAAGTAACAATAAATAAAGATAGTAAAAGGAAGCTCGATATAATCCGTGCGATGCTGTTTAATCTGCCTTGAGCACACAATAAGTTCTTTTATACATAATATAGATAAATATATACATTTAATACATCGAGTTAATGTTTGCTATGTCGTTGTTTGGTGAACGGAAATTGATACAGTTTCTACATTCAACAAGATCAATCTTGTTCGAAATGTGATTTGAAAATTTACCGAATTATATGCATAACATCACATCTATTTCCACGTTTTTGTTTGACCTTTTCTACATACATTTATACGATTGCACATCTACATACAAATAATTATACATCTATATCTCAAATCAAAATATATGATTATACTCTATACTAAATACCTCGAAAAGCTCTTGTTACGTAGAATAAACTAATTATTAGAAAGATTGGCACTTAAGTATGCGAGAGAAAAATTTTATTGATTTCATATTGATAAAGAATATTTTGTTTCTCTCGTACTTTTTATTTTCAAACAATCGTGCGACTGAAACGATCGTGCCAAATTGAGATTCATAAGCGAATAATTTCTGAACACATGGAATGTAAATTAACAACTTGACTCAGAATCCAATTTTTGGTTCAATGATGTCGCATTTAGAATTGCATTTGTGTATTTATACAAATTATATATAAATCCTTTCTTGTCGTATTTCTTATGCAATCCTTGTATTATTGTCGAAACTATGATTTGTGATTTAACTTAAGGTTTTAATATATATATATATATATATATATATATATATATTAAAAATTGTTAAATCGACCCTGTGTATAAAAATAGCGAGTATTCTTTTATAGCTTAATCAAAAATTTTGGAGTTATGTCTTGTTACTTGTTTGTTTGTCCCATCCTTAATTCGATTAGAAATTCGACATACCGATTGTAAAGGTTGCATAAAAATTAATCGTATTGTTGTAGGCTATTGTTGGCAAAATCGGTCAAAATGGGTGTGCTTTGCTCTTAATCTTATTATCGTAATTATTCACCATCTATGTGTATGTGTATATGTGCAACTTTAATATTTTTCATGTATAAAAAAATAGACCGCATAGAAATAAATTTGACACTTCAGGCGGTCGAGTAAATTTTCCTCTCTCCTCTTTTTTTTCTTTCTCTTTTCACGTTCTTCAAAATAATTTTTGCATTCTGTATGTATCTTTTGTCGTGTTAAGGGGATGCCTTGTCTGTTTTATCAAGAAATATTTTTATTTAAGTACTTATTGGCTATACTGAATAAAAAGTCTTTTTCTAGAATTGTTCATAATAACAAATTTGAGCTTTTATATATGTATATACAAAAATCAAGAAAGTTAAATGATTGCAGTTTTCTTATCTGTTTTTTGTATTATATGTCATATTATGACCTAACTTAACTTAACCTAACCGATAAGAAAACTACAATTATTTAATTTTCTTGGTTTTTTATATACATATATAATAGCCCAGATTTGTTATTATGAATACTTTAATTCTAGAAAAAAATTTTTTATTCTGTACAGGAAATAAATAGTTAAATGAAAATAATATTCGATAAAACAGACAGAATCAGGATCCCCTTTACATGGACGGCAAATTATATCGTATGATTCGTATAGATATGTCTGCGCGACGTACGATGAAATTAGTGCTACATACAATATAACACGTAGCAGCAATTGGTGATTAGCATCATAGATTTAATCAAGATTGCTTGTTCGCTTTCTATCGAATGAGTCCTATTCCGTTGCAATTTTTATTTTATTTCAACAAGTCCCTGTGTGTTAATGTATAGACTCACGATAAGCATGCGTTAGGGAAAAAGAACGTCTCAAATCAGAAAGAAGGAAAAGCAAAAGTGGCGTGGAGGTGATGAATAATTAGAGAGTCTTTCGCAAAGCGGTCATCTAAATTCTGCTCTGATCTCTTGACATGTAGTATATAATAATAAGAAATGTAACTAATAAGTAATTAGTTTCTATATAGTATAATATAAATAATTAGTTTATATATAGTAGCAATAATAATTTGTAATAAGTCAGCTAAGCCATTCAGATTGAGGATTTGAACATGGATGGTATTTTACTAGGAACTAAAAACAGAGATAATTATATTAAATATCTGAAAATATGTATATATACAGAGATTAAGCCCGAGAGGGTCGATTGAATAATCTAAACAAAAATAATGCAGGAAAAATAATAGGTAAGTAGACAGATAGCGATAAGGTTCGAAAGAAGGGTTGAAAGAGGTTCAACATTTAGTCAAAAAGAGTTAAAGTAAAATCGAAAAGCAAAAAAATGGTCCCCGCCTCCACGCCACGTGTTAAGCTTACCTTCTAAACTTTGTTAATTAATTCAATGGACATGACATTGTGCGCTGACTTTATCTTATTGCTAAATCTGCGTATATATATATATATATATATATATATATATGTTGGCACATGTGCATATTTAATCAATGCAGAGTTATATTTGCAAAAAACAAAAATTGTATGCAATGTAGAAAAGTTGTAGATGGGATTCTATATAGTTCCTTTTTTAGTTACTTTAGCACATGTCGTTCGAATTTATAAGATCTGCGTAAATATTTATACGCATATTTACATATAGTACATATATTGTACATACAGAAAGATATATATGTATCCTTCGTTTATGCTTGTAAATAGTTGTATATGCTTTTGTATCCTCCTCCACTCTCTTTCTCTCTCTCTCTCACTCCATTGTACAAATTTATAATTTTTTAACTTATAATTCAACCTATCCAACGAGAAAAATAAATCAAAAGATATTAAACTGCTTCTTTTTGTTGAAAAATGTTATATATATACACAGGATGTTTCAGGAAGAATGGTCAACATTCTAAAACTTGATTATACATACATATTATTATAAGCAAAAAAGCTTATATAATCATGTGTTCTATTTTGACATACATTTATAAAGTTATAAAAGATAGAGTTAGAAAGATACAACATGTTCCATCTTAAAAACAAATACATTTATAAACTTAGTAGAATCAAATGTTGTAAAACAATTAAATTTTTGTTATTTTCTGTTATCATGATTACGAATGTAAACATTAGGCTACATTTTTCAAGTCCTGTGTTAGTTTGAAATTTTTTATTTCTGCTAATTGAAATACCTTGTATTCATTTATGCCAACATTATTATTAATTAATTGAAATTATTGCTCATTAATTATTATTAGTTGTTCAAGTTTATTGTAAGCTTAAAATTTAATGTAATTTTTCAAAGAATTTGTTTATATTAAGTTTATAAATGTATTTGTTGTAAAGACACAGAATAGAACACATGTTTATATAAACTTTTTTCCTTAAAATGGTATATACAATCTAGAATGCTGACTATTTCTTCTGAAACACCCTGTATATTAATATTGTTCATTGATTAATCTGTCGGTAATCATGCATGTTACAATAAAACATGTTATACGCGCACTATAAATTGTATTTCGAATAGATTCAATAAAGCAATATTATTATCGTTAATCTACATCAAACATATTTTGCAAAATTTACAGACTTCAAAAAAATGATTTTTTTTCAATAATAATTTTTATAATTCCTTGTTTCAATTAAGACAAAGTACACGCAATTTAAGGAATCTCAAAAATTTTTAAATATATTATATAGCTCTTTTTTCGGTTATATTTTGATCATCAATTTAATCTTAATTAATTCACGCTCTCTTTATAATAATAATAATAATTGTTGTAGCAAATTAAACGGTGTAATACTGTAATGTATTGTGTTCTTGCATTTTAAAACTTAATTTAATGTTAACTTAATAGGTACTTACTAAGTACGTATATAATAGGTACTTAATAAGTTTAATGTGCAACGATAAATATTTGAATTGTTGTCGTTTATATGTAGATACATTCTATCATTAAATTGAAACGAAATTGTGCGAGTTTGTTTTAAGATTAATATCGATAATCAAACTGACAATAGCTATAGATTATTTGTACGAGTAGACAACGAATCTTATTATATTATTAGATTCATAATGTTTCCATAGAAAAATAATTTGTCTTTCACAAATACATATATGCATCGTTGCTCGTTTCGAATGCTTATTTTAATCAAAGTTTTTCATCGATGAATGTCTTTATTATTCGGCATTGCGACAAAGTTAGGAGCTAATAGCAATTTACACAGGTACAAGTACTTTCCCGTTTCTCATAGTGTTGTGAAAATTTGGTAGCATGAAAAACGTGATCGTTATGAGAATATTTATTTTCCCATTTTTTTCATATAAGGCCCCTTTCTAAAAATCTGTCTTACGCCAACTTAATTATGCGAAAATATAACGAGTTTATCAAAAAACAAACAAGTTGATTCTGCGCATATATTTGTGCATGCGACAACTCTGCATATAATTAATCATTTGAATTTTAATTACATTTAAGCTCCACAAGCTCACACGCTTGTTAATTAAGACAACATTGTATGAAGTATTCGTAAATTTATAGAAAAATATCGACTCCAAAAAACGAGGCGGTCGCATCGAAGATGCGAGTATTCAAAATTGTCTCAAGATGGAGGTCAATTGTCGGAATTCTCTAATTTTTTGATGCTGAATTTATTCAATACTGATCGGGTTGTATCGGGCGGAAACGGCGGACCGAAATCATATTGCAATTTTCAGCCGATTTGACTCGCGGCGTGTGAGCGAGTCTCTCTGAAGCTTTCTCCTTGTTTTGTATGTGTATGTATGTAGGTGTATGAGTGTGTGTTATTTTTTTCTGTGGATACATATTTTATACTTATACTTATAGGGTTGCGCGGCCCTTTGACGTTGCGGTGAAGGCGGGGACAGTCCGGCCTGCTTCCTGGGATGGCATGCACAAAACACAGCACAAAACGCCACACAGTTACACAAAAAGACAAACAGAGACAGAGAGAAGAAAAGATACAAATAGATAAGGCTAGATAAAAAAAAGATGAGTATTGAGAAAAATTTAAATATAAAAAAAGAGGAAAAAAGAGGGAGAACGTGGTGGTGCGTCAAAAATGCAGGCGAGAGAGAGAGAGAGAGAGAAAAGTGTGTCCAAAAGAAATTTATTTTATATATTAAAGAGAAAAAATATGGGCAAAAAGAATAATTATACTCGAAATATGAAAATGGTGCCAGTATTCTGTGTTTTCATTCATGTCGCAGCAGAGGAATGTTGCATTCGCAATCAATTCGAAATAATTCGAATTAATGTAATATATTTCATAATTCGAATATAATTCAACGTTATTTTTATTTGTTATGGACATTAACAATATATGCTTGTATTATTATTATTTAAAACTGTCGGAAATTATTAGTTATATGATTTATGCGTGGCGGTCATATATGTATAATTATTTATTTATCAAAAAATCTCCATAATGTGCGATATAGTGAGAAAAATACTTAAAAGAATTTTTAACTGATTTTAAAAAAGCGATTTTCTTATAGAAAAATTTTATTGATTCTATCAAGTTTGTCGTTTGCTATTTTCTCTGCTGCGAAGAAAAAATTTTAAATTTAATATTGTTTTTGCCACGTACGTAGAATCGTTGAAATATATAGTAATAAAAATTGTAATCTTGCTTAATTAACGCATAATGACTGTCGAAATTATTTTTCATGTTGATTTTGAAAAAACGTTTCATTTTATCTTGAATTCAGATTGAAGGGTACGCAAATTGTTTTACTAAATGCATTAATTTTTATAATTTGCGAAAAATCAGTTTAAGGAATTATTTTGCGTAAAAAAAAACGAAATTTGTAATTGTAAATAATAAATATCGCCTTTTTATCCAAGTGGGAAATAATTAATTTGTATTGAAAGAAAATCTGCAAAAATGCAGATAGTGTTTATAGTGTCGAGTATATCTTTACAAGTGTTAGTGCAACAGACGATTTAAAAATACAATGTGAATAATAATATATATATTTACACAAGATAAATATAAGTTAGTTAAATGCACAGCATGATGACGTCAATGTACGAAATGTAAAAACTTTTGCAAAAAATTTTTTTCTAATATTTGTTTTTTGTTTATTAACATATAATATACTTATAGATCAGCATCGAAATGTCACATATGACTTAAATATTTTAATATATATGCGCGCGTGCGTGCGTGCGTGTGTGTGTGTGTGTGTGTATGTGTGTGTATGTGTGTGTATAGATACAGTATATTTGTAACATTTGTTTATGTAAATATCAAGACATTATTAGTGCGTAAGATAAATGTGTGGTGATATGTATGTGTAATACACGCGACAAGAGTTTGTGTACATAGTATTATACATGTATCGTGTGTACACACACGCATGCACGCACGCACGCAACACAAATACGCGCGTGTGCGCGTATTTGATATATATTCCGTTCAACGAGAGAACGTGCATCGGAATGGATAAGAATTCGTCCGTTTTGGGCAGTTTTTCGCATAAAACATATATAAATAGAAAAGGAATGCCTATTGTTCTCACATATACTAAGACTCTATAATGGGTTTGTTTTTATGGCTGCACTGATGAATTAATACACACTAGTGCAATAAATTAAAGAGATAAATATATTTTGTTTCACTCTAACTTATTGCACTAGTGTGTACTAGTTCATCAGTGCAGCAATAAAGAACAAACCCAATGTGAGTATTCTCGTCCGCCATTTTTCTTCCAACTGCATGAAAAGGTTAGGTTTCATAACTTTCATATATATTAATATGCATTGATTGTATTGTATGTATATACGCCTTTCGATCTCGCGATTAATCTAAAAATTAACTTTAAATCTCAATTCTGTTAAACTGAAAATAGGTGTTAATTGATTTTTTTATTATAGACATGTGTTCTTCTTAAACGCGCAACAGTAGAAAGTATCATATTTTTCGTAAATCAACATATCGTGTCTCCGTTTCATTGCACGTTTTTGAAGCAACACATATTTGAAACAATTTCAAGGATTAAAGGTATGTTATTTAAATAATACTTATCGCAAAAATAAGACAGTAAAGGTTATTGACGTTTGACATATAAAAACATACTTAACCTTTACATATTGTTGGAAGAAAAATGGCGGACGAGAATACCTACATTTATAGTGCTCTATAGATGTATATGCATAGTAGAAAGGCATACTGTATTTTATGCTCCTTGCGCTTTCTCTCACTTAAATAAGACAATACTCGAACGCATATAGTGAGAGGGATATAGACAAGGGGCACAGACTCCTTTCCTACGTGTATCCTAATCTACAAAATGTAATTTAAATCCTTAGTTTTATGACAAAAAGTTCCAAACTGCAGCGTATTTTTGACCTCTCACGCTGTTTTAAGCTCTAATTTCTAAATCTTGCTTAAGCAAGTTGGTCAATTCCCAACTTTTAAAGCTTATATAGAGTTTGAAGCTTAGAATCAATATAATTGTTCTCTTAAATCTTAAATTACCTTAAATCATCCTTTATAGACTAAGAATTACCGCCACTCTTTGACACTCGGTCTAGATATTATTATGTCTAGATAGTTGTCTCTTTGTTGCTTTCTGTTGTGAGACGTCTGTAGTTGTGAGTGGAGTCCTATATAAAGAGAGAGGCAATACTGACGTCGCGATTTTTGTTTAGCAAATCCTCTACCTAATTAAAGTAGCCATACTGAGACCGCAGTGAAGTTGGATTTGAATAGTAGTTCAATGGAATTGACGTATTTTGATATTTGGAGCTGACACTTAATGGTTAAGTTAAAAATGATTATTGTTACAAAAATAAACAGCGGTCTCAATATGCTGCTGGAGGTGGTAGTGGAGGTCTGGTGTTGCTTCTCTCTTTATATAGGACTCTAGTTGTAACTGTTTAAAAATATGTATGTGCGTTTACTTAGCTTTGGCCGACTAAAAAATAAGGTTATATTAGTCACATGTTGAAATAAATAAAAATAAGTAAATGAATAAACTGGAGAACCTATTTAACGAATGAATATATCTTAATATGTGAGTAATGTATAACCTTTATTTTTCAGTAAGCCAAACTGATCAAGTAAAGTAAGCCGCGCATGCGCAATTTCGAACAATTACAATAAAAAGCAATAGAGAAGTAACTACGATTTTCTTTTTCACTTCCTCTGGATACATTTTAACCTGTTATTTCTTTTCTATTTATATATGTTCTATTTTCGCTCATGGTATACCCGTCTCTCCCTTCATTGTTTATTTAACTATTGTCAGTGCCTGCAATAAATGGCACATTGGAAAAAATGTTGCATTAACAAAAATTCTATTCAAAAATGGACGAAACATACATAATTACAGGTTGAATGTATCAGAATTCCTTTTAATGCAACAAGTATCTTGTTTGCACAAACAATTGATTTTTTGAGAGTAAACCAATAATTCATTTGTTTCGTCCATTTTCGAACAGAATTTTGGTTAACGCAAGAAAATTTTTTTTCAGTGGACCAGCTCGAAGTATTGAATCGTTGCGTCGGTATCTCTCCCTATTTTGAATCCCATCCATAGACTGATGCACGTTCTCTCGTTGAACGGAATATATATATGTATAATATAGTCAAGAGCAAATGAGAAAAAGACTCACCTTCGGCACAATGCTCCCACCACCGCTCCCGGACGATCCGCGAGTCTGAGCCACGTAAAGGCTTTCGGTGCGTTTAGGCTGTCCAGGACTCGGCAAAATGTCTTGTCCAAGATTGCGATTTTTTATAAGAGCCCCCTCAAATTGGCTAGGAGTCGGTGCTGCGTACGTTGGCGTCGCAGCGCCACTGCCTACTACAGAACCGTTTAAAGGTGTACCCGCTCGCATCACGCTCGGGGCTCTCGTCGATCTATTCATTGTATAAAACGTCAAATTGTTTTAATGTATTGTAACAATATATATATATTTGTCAGAAATCACAAAAACCTCAAAGACTAAGAGCGAACCAATAATACGAATCGAACAAATGTGACTGTAACATTTTGTAACGTTTATATGTATGTTATCTATGTATATTGTATATAAATATACTACAATACATATATACGTTTAGTTTTATATTTATGTATAATAATTTATACGTTTATTATATATTATAATAAAAAAACAAAACTCACTTTTTTATTTTACAAATCAATATTTATGATTCGTACAAATTACTTGTTAAAAAAGCACAAAAATAAAAATTGTAGGTAACGCATTAGTAATGACAGAAATAGGTGCAAAAATGGAAATAATACAATGGGATGCGAAACGAGATATACATAATAAATTAAAAATTAAATTTCAATTTAACTATATTAGTATTAACGTATATGTGCATATGTTACGCACCTATCGAGCATATCGGAAGGTAGATTAGTTATGGTCTTATCGACGGATGGCTGTCTCGATCCAGTCAACCTGGAATGCGCTCTGGCATAACGATCTACAGAACTATCACGACTAGGTGGCCTCTTATAGTGATCCAGCCTATCAAGCGCACAACATAATGATCTTTTAACTTTCGCAACTTATTTAAATGTAATTATAATTTTACAGAGATCTAAGAAAGTTTTAAAATGTATAAAAAAGTTTTTTTTATTTTTTGGATATTTTTTTCAAGTATAATTTCAAAGGAGCCACAATGCTTCAACATTTTATATAGGATTTTTAAAATCTGAAAACTCTTTTAGATCTAAATACATACCTACATACACACAATTATATGTATATATATTGTTGCATAAAAAAAGTATCTTACCTATCGTTTAACGTTTGACCAATAGTGCCAGGTCGATCTTGAGGACTTAGAACTCTACTGTTTCTTCTTAAGCTCGTGGAGCTCGACGGTCTCGCTGCATCCCCCATACCATCAGGTTGATATTGCTGGGACATTTGTTGTTGCGAGTATATTGGTTGCGGATTATATTGATTCATCTGACCAGGCCCATATTGATAAGGTATTGACGTCTAGAATCAATTTCACGTAGCTTTAGCGGTCTCTCGCGAGAAACTGCTAATTGATTTCGATAACGGAACAAATACATATGAATGGACGTTGTTCATATTTAAAACTTTTTCAAAAAATTATAATATTTAGCATGCGTTTTATAGAATGTGTTTTTGAAATAAACGATACAAGGAATATTAGGAATAACTCACATTAGCTGTCCCAGCAATTAACAACATTAAAAATTAAATAAATAGACTGTCATCGTCAGAAATAATGTATTTGTTCCAATTCCCGATATATATATATATATATATATATATATATGTGTATGTGTGTGTGTGTGTGTGTGTGTGTGTTGTTAAAGATTCAAAATTCTACAGGCTTATCGAATTACAAGTATAACTTTATTGTATATTTGATTGAAAGGAACCTTGCAGTACGCACTGGAGCCAATAATTGTGTGTTCTTTTATTATATATTTAATTTAATAATTTTCAATTATATGTAACTAAAGTCTTAGAAAATATGTAAACTTGTGTTCGAGTTTAATCAACTATATATCACTGCAAACAGTATACATGTAAAAAAATTGTTGAACAATAGGTTATCTATAATCGTCAATAACAATTAATCATTAATTAATTATAATCAATTAATTAACAATCATTAATTAATTATTCCTATACACGATTAAACACATACAAAGTTTGCAAGTGAAATCAAACTCACGTGGAGAAACGCGTCGATTTGCTTATATATATATATATTACATATCAATAAAACTCTATATTGATTTATTCGAATGTTGTCAAATCGACAGTAAGGAGTCAAACTCTAAAAAGGGAAAAAAGGATCATTGGCGTTGACACACATAAGCATTCCTCGTAATCGCGTAAATCGCGATGTCGAAAGTTGCGCAAATGGCGACCAAGCATGAGAGAAATGAAAAGGGTAACGCGAAGGGCACAATTCGCGAGTTTAAAGTCACCTGCTGATTAGGGTAAGCCTGCAAATTTTGAAAGTTGTGCTGTCCGATAAATTGTTGTTGCTGCTGATAACCGGAGTATTGATCAACCTGTAGTGGATTAGTTGGATGATACTGCGACTGGTATGGACTGCCGTGGAGGAATTGGTTTTGCTGGCTATACTGATTCGGTTGATACTGATTCGGTATATTGTTTGGATATTGACTCGCCGAAGGTGGATTCGCCGACACATTTTGCGAGTATTGTTGATACGGATTCGGATCAGTCAGAGAGGTTTGCGCGCTTAGCTGGTTCATGGACGATTGATTCACCAGTGAAACATGCGGCACTTGATTCGGTATTTGATTTTGCATTGGCGGCAGCTGATTTTGCGGCAGCGATTTTACGCTAGTCCTACGTATTGACTGCATTACATTGCTAACGGTGGTGCTCGCCGCAGTCGGTATTGCCGTCGCCGTTGTCGTTGTCGTGATAGTCGTCGTTATCGCCGTCGACGTAGAATCGATAGTTTTAATCGGTGTGGCGCTGGGTTGGTCTACACTGGCCGTTTTATGCAGGATACTTTTACCAGGTAGAGAGTCCTGAGGCGGTGGTACGTACTTGGGTATCTCCCTATTTCGTAATCTTTCTAAACCCGGTTGTCGGAAATCCGGCGCAAATTGTCTCGCCGTTTGTTGCGCCAATTCCGAGTCCTCCCTAGCGTGTTCGGCGGCAATATCGGCTAATTCCGCTTTTCCTCGCGCCGTCGCCGTTCTGGAGATGGCAATGTCAGCTTTCTGCAAGGCAATCTTGCTTGCTCTCTGAGCGGCGCTTACCGCCGCCTCTATCCTTTCGCGAAACTTGGCGGATCTGATTAAGAAAAGGTGCTTCTTTTTCTGGCTAGTGATGAGCAAATTGTTTTTGTATTTTCCCTCTTCTTTACTGCCGTCGCGAAATGTCGTAACACCGTAACCGTACTTGCGATTATTGAACCACTCGCCCTCATATCGCAGCCCGTCGCTTCTTTCGGATATGCCGAAGCCGGTTCTTTTGTCGTTCTTCCATTCACCCAGATACGTCTCGGTTACTGATGCGTCCATCTGTTCGTCCTGGAAATCGATGTCGTGCAATTATCATTTTACAGACTAATTTCAATTATTTTAAAATTATACTCAGTTATTTCTAAACTTATTTTAAAACTATGATTAATGTTAAATCCACATCTCTCTTTCTCTCCCCTCCTCCCTCTTCCTCCCCTCTTATCTATACAAAATGTTCAATTTAAATGTTAAATTATCCCTAAAAATTTTTGTATTCTTGCACAACAAAATGTTTCAAGTAAAAGTTGTTTGGTTTGAAAGACAGAAGATAGCGCTATTGACTTTTCTCTGGAGGGCGCTTTTCAAGGTCATTTGAAAATATTTATTTGTTTTTTTTTTTTAATGGAGTTACTATAATTTTTTATATGTAAATCGATTTCTCTTAATATTTACTATAAAATGTTATAAAGATATTATTGCCAAAAAATGAATAGTTTATGAAATGTGTATACTATACTAATTTATATAAACTATGAACATAATTTTACATAAAGTATGCAATATATATCTCATAAAATATTCATTTTTCGTTAATCTTACCTCAATACTTCACAACTAGCAGCTACATACTATTTCTTATAATCAACTATATGCTTTGTTTACGCCAATTAATTTTTTTTCATTACTTTATGCACAAAAGTATTGAAATAAGATCGTCGAAAAAATGAATTATTATAAGGAGTATTTCAGGACTGAAACTTATAAGGACGTTTAGAATCCCTTTAAGAGTAAAATTAAAATCCAATTGGAGTCTTGTCGAGTAACTGAAGGAATTGAGATAATCAAATGACCCACCTCGATGACAAAGGACGCATTACTGTCGGTGTGAACCGATGCCGAAGCTTGACTTTGCGAGCTCTCTGTTGACATCCACGATGCGGAGCTGGCGTTACTTCTAATACTGCCACCAGTACCACGCTTCTCCAAATCACCCGTACTCCTTTGCTTTCGTATCTTGAGACCCTGTATCGACAGAACATATCTTCTAGATAATGCTCCAATTTATGATAAGAATTTTGTGAATAATTGTCCATCATTCCGAGAGACTTCTTACTGAAAGAATGCCCTTCTTCAAAGACTTTTCGGTAAGACTCTTTCTTCGGGCGGGTGGATCGTCACTTCTAGCCTTTAGAACAAATCCTCCTCGACTATCGTCTACGCGACGGTCCCTTTTATCGGTGGGTTCCGGTGTTGGGGCGACCACCGGTCCACCGTCGGCACTTCTCAAGGATGTCAAGGATGCTCTTATTTGTTTCTGCGGTTTGTAGTGACTCGCCAAACCGAATGGTGCGCTCGCCCTTACTCCATATCCGTGCCGCATGCCGCGAAGCCATTGACCTTGATAAGTACCTACAACAGATCATCAATATAACGGAATAGAATCAATATAACGGAAGCATGTATATCCGTGTGGGATGTGTATATTCTACTGACATTCATAGTGAATCGTTTCTATTAGAATTGATAAAATTGTTTTAATTTGATGTAGGTACGTAATAAGTCTCTTCACGAGATTTGACATAACCTATCAATAATAATGTAATTGTAAGATGAGGCAGTATAAGTTTGTTTCATAGCAATAGAGACAATACTTTTATAAGTTTTAATCGACTTTAGTCGTTTAAACTTTAGAAGTTTTTCGCTTTTGTTCGACTTTTAGTCGAACAAAAGTGAAAAATAAGATGCGAAAAATTTGTTGCTATTCAGAAATTATACACTAGTCGGCATTACAACTGATGAATTTCCTACACTCGGCAATAAGACATATTGTTTTTGCCAAAACGTGATCATGTTTCGAAATGTCTTGCGTGAATCACGAGGCGAGCAGTTACGCGCACCCGCTCAGAAATGGAATGCATCAAATGGGTGTGTGAGTGTGTGCTTTTTCGGCGAATATGCGAATTCCGAATCGATGAAAAACTGCGAGAAAAGACCGAATGATGTTCATCCTGTTGAAATAAGAGTTGCAGCGTTACGGTAAATGAGAGAAAGAGAGAGAGAGAGAGAAAGAGAGAGAGGGAGAGTGTGAGGAAGAGGAAGAAGAAAGAGGGGGAGAGGGGAAAGAGAGACAGCATAATTCTGGAATACATTTATTACACATCGTTTCACATGCATAGGTGTGTGTGTGTGTATTATTATTTTAATTTTATTAAAATTAAATTTTATGGATGAATAAAAATTAGAATTGTATATGCATATCCAAGGGCGTTCGCAGAATTTTTTCCAGGGGGGGGCATCGTTTATATATTGTTAAAATATATACACTTTTTGGGGTAAAAGCTTTCTCACCGCGTCCGAATCGGATCAAGTAAATCGGTGCAAGTAAATCCCAACACGTTTATTCAAAGAAAGAGTAAATGCCAAATTTTTCTGATTCCAAATTCTAGGGGGGATAGGGGGATCTCCCACTTATTTTTTAAACGGACGCCTTTGAGTATATAATAGGTAAAATTAAATAATAAAAATATTATTCATTGAAAATTAAACTTTAAATATAGAAATATAAGAAATAAGCAACAAATTATAATTAAAATAATTTAATTATATAAATAAAAATTTTTTTATATTGATATTTTTAAATAAATTATACCAGATATTTTTTTATACAAAATTGAAAATTTTGTTTTACCTAATTTAAAGCTTATATAATAAAATCAACAATGGAACAAAATCACGTTAGATCATTTTAAATTATTATAAATTCGGTTATAAGCACAAGTGCTATGTGGTAAAAACTCGAACAATCATGATATATTATAAAGGTTTTTTATATTCTTATTTAAAATTTCTATGTATATTACTGTGTATTGGTATATTTGATTTTATTAAAAATTATTTGCATTTTATTTATTTCATTATACAATTACAATAATATATTACAAAAAAATTATAATGACTTCTTGAAAAGAACATCTTAACAGCTATATTATTGAACCTTCGATATCACATTTTGTTAAAGTTTGTTAAATAAAGTGTACTTTTTAATTCGTCTTCTTTCATTTATAAACTTTTGAATATTTAAATAATTTTGATATCGTGATGACAATTGATTATGTATTAAAATTGCAATTTTATTATATTATTTCGTTCATTAAGTTTATATTACTTTCCAACAGTAAAACCGCATCTGAAAATCTTTTAGCAAAATTTTTAAATTCTGAATCCATAAACATCTAATTGTATTTTTGTAGTTTTTCGGTATTATCATAGTAGTAATAAATTAAATCCGAAATCATATTGGGGCAATGAGTATGAATCGATAAGAAGAATATAGGACCATGTTTGCGAAATAAAAAATTTAAAATGATCTGTACAAAATATAAATGTTAATTTAATAGTTTTTTTATTCTTATTAAATTGTTAAATAAAATAATGTTAAAAAAAGAATTATAAAAGGAAAATAGATTCATTTTACCAGATTTCGATGCTTTTACAATAACATTTTCTGCTTTAAATAAATTTCTTGTACTCTTGGTCCAAATTTACCATTAGCTTCTTTTAATTTAATAAAGGGGACAAAAATTGCCATTACAGGATATTATTGGTTGTATCGTATATGAATGGGTTGTTGATGATATGGATTACGTTTCTTTCATCTCTGGTTAATATGATCTTAGAGTGAAGTTGTGGAAACCTTTATCAATTGTAAATATTATTGTTCAATAAGATTTTATGTTTAGAAAATCATCAGTGATGCAAATTAAGAATTAAGACTTCTCAAATTAATTTTCCAATTCGGTAGATCTTAAATCTTGCTATCAATGAATTTTATTAGGATTTAAATTCCTATTTCTTCTTGAGCTTGTAAACATCGTTTAAATCAATATCATGAACCATGAATCCTGATTCGAAGCGCAGTAAATTATCATGTGTAAATTTGGAGATGTAAGATAATTTTCTGCACTTCCATGATTTATTTTTCAGTCCATCGCATAGTTCAAAAACTCTTCTAAATTTATTTTGTACTACGTTACGATTCTTTTTTGTCATTACTGTTTTCATCAGTGTCCCAATCGCCAATACTCAACAGCTCGTCTTTTATCAAGAACTATAAAATTTGTATCATCATTTGAACAATGAGGATGAGAATTTAAACTATCTTCATGCCATGCATCTTTATCAATTATTTCAAAACTATGTAAATAACTTCATAATCGAGATATATTTCTTCCGTTACTTCCACCCCATTATAATGAAAAATATCCAGTAATAATTTAATGTTCCTTTAATTCTTCTGCTTAGTTACTGGCGTTTCTGTTAAATTATTGAATTTATTGACACCAATAAAAGTCTAACAACGTTAAGCGGATTGATTTATTCAAAGATGTTAATTTTGCTTTCTATTGCAATAAAAGAACAGTTTACACAGATATTATTACAACGAAAAGACTATACCGACTGTGAGAATTATGCTGCTACATGTTTATATTAACTTATCAGAAATACGTCATCACATAATCTTATTTTATTATTTATTTTAACGTATTAAGATTTTATTGTAAAAATTATAACTTATCTGGAACACGTACACATAATCTTATCTTATGATTCATTTAACGTAAGATATAAAATTTATGCCAAATATTGCGACATTGGTATTCCAAGATTCAATTAAAAAATAATTTTATTTAAAATATAATTTTTTTAATTTTTATAGAAGAAATTAAATATTAAAGAAATAATAAGAAAGCATATATTTAAAAAATTCTTATTAATTATTTTAAAATTTTTTTTTATCTAAATATACACAATACGCAGTTATAAATACATAGAAAAATAAATAAGAATTATACAAAAACATTTTTTATATATTTTATTGTTCGACGGTAATTACTTACGCACATAGCACGGATGATATATACGGGAGCGTTTATAATTAATTTTCGAAAATGATAAACATAACTTTATTACACATGGTTGAATTTGGAAAAAAATAACTTAAATTAGGAAAATTTTTAATTTTAAAAAAAAAATTAGGTGGTGAGGGTTTTTAAAAAAAAAAAAAAAAAAAAAAAGGATATAAAAATATCTTCAATATTAAAATTTTTTGTTTTTTTTTATATCTCTTATAGTTTAAGATATTTGATCCTAAAGAAAAATATTATTTTTAAATGTGTTTCACCCTTAAAACTCAAATTATATGAATATTTTTTAGATTTGTGTATTTAACAACATATTTCAAGGATAATCATAATTCTTTTCTTTTTATCTAAGATATAGATAATATATGTAGGTATATTTTTATTATCCATATAAAGTTAAGATGACGTCAAAATTTCATCTAGATGATCATCTATATAATTATATTTAGATAACAGCAAATATATTGCAAGTCCAAACAGCGTACTTTGGTGTGTCTGCACATGTGTGTAAAAGTTTGAATGTACGTTTTTCCAGTCTTCGTTAGTAATGAAATGTATCTGCGCTATGAATTATCGAGTCAGGATAATGAGTTTTGCTTAATATTTTTTCAGGAAAGCTGGCTTTTAATTGTGACTATACATTGTGATTATACATATATCACTACTATAAATTATTCTTGGAGCGTGAGAGATTATTATCACACATTATTTTTTTTTTAAAAGCATTTCTTATTTTTAATCTGCAATACTTTTGCACGAAAAAATTACTTTGTCTCTCTTTTCATTTCCCTTTTTATCTCTTTGATAATATTGTAATTAAAAATGCTTAAATATTTTATACGATTAATATTTTCTCTATTAATTATATTCCACAGACAGCACGAAGATCGAAATATGTTCAAATTCAGGACACAAGATGTCTTTTAGATATATCATAAGACTTCTTAAAGATATCTTACGTCCCAATTTGGGACAAGATGCTGTCGGGGATATTTAAGAGATTTGCATTTATTGCACCCCCTCTGAAAGTCTTAAGAAATTTTCGAGCTGATGCCTCAACGTGGCTGTCGAGACGCTGCGAAATCCGACAGAAACGTTAACTGAACTACGCGACACTACAGAGTGTACCGTGGAAAAGTGGATCGCGCCATTATGTATCGATTCGTGTACCCGTCAGCAACGACCCAGATTAATTATTATCGAGCTTCTAATTTTCACCATTTGAAAATTGTGCCGCGACTTTTGATGACGCTCTCGTAAAAGTTAATTCGTTTAATAAACGAGTAGTTTCGTATAAATGTTAACTTGGCGCGAAACTGCTTCTCAGTGATGTAAATTGTCGAAAAAGTGTCGTTTCTTTCCCGATCAATTCCCAAAGTGCGAATTAATTATAAAAATATAATCAGACATTTTATCAATTCATCGCTTAATTAAAATTAAACGCCAGTTATTTAAGTGTCTATGTATCAATATATTTACACACACTAT